TTTTTTTTTTTTTTTTTTTCTTTTTTTTCCTGTTATTTTGCATGCTGTCTGCTATGCTCCAATCGGAAATCATTTATATGTGTTGTACTACTTTGTATCACGGAGTAGAACGATGTGGAATAGAGTTTATGTATTTGCCTTGTATTGTATATACATAGCAATTTTATATAAATGGAGCTATGCACAGCGCTTTATTTGAAATCTTGTTCTTTAAGAATCCAAAAAGCGCGTTTATATGTGACTCAGAGTAATTATATAAAAGTATTAATTAAAAAAAGATATCTGCACGTTAATTAATTTAGATTCACATCATTTATTTGACACATGTTTACGCGCTATTTTATGCTACTTTATTTTAAATTTTCTCACTCTTGAGAAATAATAATTATATGTAATATGCATGTAGGTATATTAATTTTCTTTATATATATATATATATATATATATATGTACGTATGTATGTATATATATATATATGTATATGTGTATGTATATATATATATATATATATATATATATATATCCATATGTATATATATTATTATACATAAGCATATCTAACACATTTGTACATAAATTATCATTATTGTAGCTATATATATCGAAGCACTTTGCTACAGAAAGTTTAATAACGATTCAAGTTAAAAAAAAGATGCAGATGTGCAGATAATTATATAAAGAAAACATATATCTCTCGCTATTGGATTCTTAAAATTTTCAACTTAGTAAACGCTAAAAATGAAAGATGATGCCACGATAATGGAAGAAACTGTTCTACGATTATTATATTTATCATTATCACTAAAAATTGGTTTACCAACTTGAATTAAATGAAAAGAAATAAACTTGCTGTACATAGAGTATTTTTTGTTGATGTTTCATTATTTTTTATACATCTTAGCAGCCCCTGTGTTTAAGTTGCTTGTAATAAATAATGCGTTAATTGTGCTGGTATTTATGCGTTTTTCGAAATTTCTCATGTGATACCTAAAATTTCAAGTTTTTTCTTGCAAACAGCTTAAACATTCACGCTGCCCCTTATAAATGCCTTAGTTTTCTTAGAGCGTTAATTGTGTTTTTATATTGCGATTTATATAAGTTAAAAGAATATATTAAAGAAAGAATAATCAGATTGTAGCATTAAATCAAGTATCAAGTATTAAATTTCTGTTTCTCTCTCTTAGCATATATCAATTAAATGCTATTATCTTTCTTTAAATTGTTCGATATGTACATATTATATGTTCCCACTTCTATGATCTTTTCTAAGATTTCAATCTTTAACTGACATAGCAGAATTTCATTCCTGTTTTATTTCCCTTATCCTTTAGTTTAAATCTGTATCCATCTCGATAACGGAACATTAAGTAATTACGTTTTAATATTTTTTTCTTTTCGCAAATAAAATGTCCATGATATGACAAATAGCTAAGATTAGCTAAAGAAAAAAGTGTCGATTAATAGTTAAAATAATAAACAATATACATTCGCTTGTATGATAAATTAGTAGTTTAATTATTATTATGGATGCCAAAATTGTCCCGAATATAAAAAATTCGTGGTGCGAACAACACGATTTTTAATCACGCACAGATTCAATCGTTGGTTCGATATTAGCGTTTTGCAAACAGCTTCTTCACGTTGTCGCATTGTGAGTATAATTGAGATATTTGTTTATCATTTTCTCTTTATATTGTCTTTTCCAGTTTGTAAAGTATACATCACTGTGCGCTGTAAATTGCTGCGAATAGTACGCGGAATGTTAAATACATATTTGTTTCAGGATATCCTGTCTCAGTCTCGGGAGTGATCACTGTGCCAGTGTCCGCCAGTATGTATCAGACTATGGTAGCCAATATTCAGAGCGACGGAACGATGCAAGTCGTGACACCGATGGTACAAGTACCCAAGGTAGAGCCAGGAAATGGCGACACCACCATTGAGGCCGTCACTATACAGGGTCATCCTATGACCATGATAAATGCCGCCGGAGAGCATCAAGTCCTTCAAGTAATATCGTTGAAAGACGCCAATGTTCTAACGAAGGCTATGCAAGCTGAGGTTGTTAAGGACGAGGATAGTCAACAACAACAAACTGTATCTAGCCCGGAATAAACGCGTGTTTTAAGTGTAATCTAGTTAATCCAAAATCGCTCCATATCACCTACGGACGTATGCGTGCATACGGCGGTGATATACGGGCAAGAAAGATAAAAGTGTGAGAGAATTAGTAATGGATTGGTGTTGTGTTCTTTTTTTCTCTTTGAGTCACTGTACTTGTGTAGTGTGTCTTGCTCTGACTGCGTACAGCGATTATATCCGAAAGTGAGAATGGAGAGAGTGCGTAATATTGATTAAGATTAGTCTAGAGTATTTGTACTCAAGATTCATTGTAAATGCTTGAGGGTCACTTGCAATTCAATTTCTCAGATATAGTATTAATTTTTAAAGAAATCTATCGCATCGCGCTGGGCGAATGTGTCTCCATTTTCGCGAATAATTTGCGACATTATATTGTTTTTTCCATCGAAACATGAAAACATAATCGTGCTTTCCAGTATTGCGTAAGCACGTATTTCTAGTCTTAAAACCAGGTTGATACGTGAAATACACACCAAAGACATACTTTTAATTAATTCAATAATTATATTGTGGTAAGCGTTCATCGTTTCCATAATAATGCAGTAAATTTGTCCATTTTTTTCTTCAATTTTCACTTTAGCACAAATTGACTTCAAAATTTGACAAAGACAGAAGCTTCTCTAATTTACGAACGTTTGTTGTAGAAAATGAGGAAAAGCACGCAATTCGATTATAAAAAAATCGATCGTTTATGAATATCGAGTCTAGTTTACAAATAAACAGAAAAATTGCGCTTGGACACAGATTAAATGAATCGCGGATCGATCCGTTTGAACAGTTGGAGATATCTTTGAAGTTTGAATTTAAGATGTGTTTCGAAGTATGACATATGTTTGAATTGTGCGATCATAAAAAAATTCCGATTATTTTGTTTTTCTATCGCAGAGTTATGTAACAGTATACAGAGTTTTATTTATCTCGATCGCTTGGAGTACATCCGTTGCTTTTTTAAAAAGCAACGAGAGTGCCAGATGGTCAAGATGAACAAAAATGACTCCTGTATATGTAATATATACATAAAGAATCGATAGTAGAGATAAAAAAAAGAGTTAAGCATTTCTGACGGGTACAAATAGGATGTAAGATGTATGTTTTTTCGAAAAAAAAAAGAAAAAAAAACAAAAACCAGGATATTAATGGATTTGAAATTTCAATACGCACCAACGCGAGAAGCATGTGTCCATAGTCTTATTTTACAAGAATCTTATATTGCACCATTTACTATTACTACTACTCGTTTTGATTAACGTAATCGTAAGGGGGAATCGTAAAATCGTATGATTTTTATCAATGCGATAAAAGAAGAAGGTAGATATTATATTTCTATGAAGAATTATTTTAATGTCAACCTCTTGAAAATTATCTCTTGAAACTATGACCGAACGTGTATGTATGTACTAATTTTCTAAAACAAAATACGGGATTGTAAAAACCATAGACATAGTAAGTATAGACCGAGCATCCATTGTATATAAGTGTATATAAGCGTTAAGCATACGAAAAGAAAGGCAAAAGATGTAAGATGAGTTTCTTTCTCTTTTCAATGCTGGAGAAGTGGGGAATGCTCCCCACTTCTCCAGCATCTTTTGTCTTTCTTTTCGTATGCTTAACGCTTATATACACTTATATACAATGGATGCTCGGTTTATACTTACTATGTCTATGGTAAAAACCAGAATTCATATACATATATATTATCCTTCGATCAATTTGAAGGTAATCAAAAGTAATGAATTCTATTTTACATTAAATAGTCGGACTGTGTCACATATGGTATTTAAATCATCAATCCATTTTTATATAATGTATCTAAAACGACGAAAGGTGTATTTTTTGCGTGCAATCTTGTTTCAATGTTACGGTAAGAAAAATTAGAATCGTCTCTTTTTGTAATAATCTTGTTTTCTCAATTATATATTACTATTTTACATTTTTTTTATTATTCCATTTTTTCCATTGTATATAACATACATTATATAAATATGTATTCTACATGCAGTAGTGATCTCATTTTTAAATTTTATTTAGTGTTGATTGTATAAATTGCAATTGAATTGGAAAATTACGTAATAATATTTATTTTAAAGATTGTAACATTGAAACAATAAACTGCCCTCGAAATCGTGTGTAATAATACCAAAGAGATTTTTATAACATTATAGGAAGAAATAGAGTTGAGAATAGAGATAAATACTATTAAAAACGTATCATAATGACTAGATACTAATTGTTGCGTTGTTTTTTTAAGATTCAAGGCCACTACATTAATGATGTAATATATCAGTATCTACGTATGTAAGATAAACATGTTATATTTTCCCTCTGTTGTTTGTAACAAAGCACACACGGAGCATAAATTAAGTTAAATGTCATTCAAGAAAAAAATGTGTATTACGACTTTAGATAATTATAGACATATGTGTATATGACTTTGCTGCATATCTCAATTTCCATGTCAATTTGTAAATAAGTTGTTGTATTGTCATCTCAATTTTGCCTTTACTTTTACTCAAATTAATTACGACATTGAAATTAATCAATAATATTGGCCATACAATTGTATACAACTCAATCGTGCTTACAATGCAACCATATGTAACGAAAAAGAAGATAAATCCGACAATTTTCAGATAATCCATAGAACAAAATTTGTCATTTTGGACAATAACTTTAATGAAACAATTTGGAATATATTTACCAAAAAATGGACAATCACTATTTATGGCAAATATTAAATGTTTTTAATATCATCATATATCTTTGTAATTGAGTCTTAAATTAAAATTCTAATGTTTTTATGTACGATGTTATAAATTACATTTGATTGATTTTTCATTAACGATAGACAACAATTATAATACAATTGTGTTTTTTTTATTCAACAATGCTGCTGATAATGTGGATACATAAAAAGTTCAGCCTTGTTGATAATCATTCTTTATATGCATCTGAAGCAGCAACTAAGAGAACATAAATACTAATATTTATAGTATAATTTTTAACCTGTTACATATGATATTCTGATTGACAGGCTAATTCTGGCTTGTCGTAACCTAGCTCCTCGGGTGTGCTAATGCCTAGCTCATCCAAAGTTGGTCTGATCTCTTGAAGAATATAAGGATAGATCTCGCCGATATATGGTCCAGTTTTATCTTTCACTGATTCTAAGAATCTTACAGCAAGAGCAAAGTCATTTAATCTTCTGCAAGCTCTCAATGCTGCGCATATAATTACTGGTTCTGGTACATTATCCATACCTAAATAAAATATATAATTGTTAGCAAAGTTATTTTATAATCTATATATATATATATATATTAACAAGAGAGGCCAAAACAATGTATAAATATAAACATATTTAAATTTTATGGTATGAGTAAGTAAGAGTTTGTTTGTTATTGATACTTCTGTTATTGATCTTGTTTTTTCCAGGTATATTTTTTAAGCTTTAAATTTTCATCTTTTTTATATCTCTCTAAACTAAATATTCCAATAATCATAAGCAAATTTTATAATATAAATTAATTGATCAATTTAGGACAAATTTATTTTTGAATAAAAATGAAAGTTCTCGATATAATTTATGATTAGAAATTGTTTATAGCAAAATAAAACCTGGAAAAAAATAGTTAAAAATAATTTATAAAAGTAATTTTGTTTAAGCCATTCCAACCGAATTTAAATAGATTTTGATTTAAAATTTAATGAAGAGGTATAATAAATGTTAATCTCTCTAAGCTAAGAAAAAACAGTATTTAAATCGTCAAAAAAAATCTGTTCAAAGAACATTCATCGCTGATTTTATCATACTTGTTTCATTTATCAGGTGAAACAAGAATGATAAAATCAGCAATAAATGTCCTTTACAATTAAAATTGACAATCACTGATTTCATTACGGAATATTGATTGATGACACGAGCGCAAGACTCACCAGCCAGATCATTCATGGCCTTTCGAATCTCCCAGTGATCGATGTCGTTGCGGTTGAAGAAATTGACATATCGCTGATCGAACTCCTCGTCGGTCTCCTTGGGGCCGTGGGACGCCCTGGTGCTTTGCACGCCGACGAGGCTAGTAGCCGTCACTCGGGGCACCATCGCCGAGGCCACGCGTGATGCTACGATACGCAACATTCTTTCGCTCGAGGATTTCCTTTTCGTCCGAGAAAGATATCTTCCTCCTCGACACCGTTCGTCTTGGTCTGTTGCGTAAACCGACCAGGACGGAAGTCAAGACCAACGGGCAGAGTCGTCTGCAACACAGATGGCGCGACTTTCGGCGCGCATTTTTAAATTCGCGCCGTTTCAGACGCTGCGTCTATCCAGGAAATACAGACAGCGAAACCTTACCTTACTTTCTGAAATTTTAAAAGAAATATGTATTAAGGTAGGTTTGTACAAGCAGAGAGAAACCTGAGAGCGGCCACCTCGCTTTAACGGGTATATTGTCCTAATGCGCTCCCTGACAAAGTAGACGTCAACTACATCCATTACAGTCGATAATAATACATGGTTCGTGTCTGAGCTATGGTTCATGTCCAAGCTATGGAGTGACCCCAAAAGTGATACTCCCACTATGGACATTCAAAACATGGACATGAACTAAAAAATCAGTGTCCATGAATGTTCTCAGAGGGTAATATATAATTGCACAATTTCTGGTTTTGTTCCGTGCTATATGCACGAAATGCCGGTAGCACCAGTGCTATATAACAATTAAATACTTATGTGTGTAAATTGATAATAAATAAATTATTCAATCGCGACAGATACTGTAATAATCAAAGATGAAATAAATATTTTTCAAAATAAATTGGTAAATAATACGGCTCTATGTATTTATCAACATGATAATTAAGTAAAGAGCATTAAGAGCCCACAAAACGCGGATGGCAATGCGTAAATTATTTCGAACATTAATTGTTCGCGAAATTTTTTTTTTTTTTTTTTTTTAAATGCGTTACTAGGAGAACATGATTTGTAAAGAGATCATCAACGCATTATCGACCTCCTCGCAAAATATATTCTCCTGATAATATAAAATAATAAGAAACGAATTTTCGAAAATTTTCACGCTTGCGTTATTAGGAGAACATGATTTGTAAAGAGGTCATCAACGCATTTTCGACCTCCTCGCAAAATATATTCTCCTGATAATATAAAATAATAAGAAACGAATTTTCGAAAATTTTCACGCTTGCGTTATTAGGAGAACATGATTTATAAAGAGGTCATCAACGCATCTTCGACCTCCTCGCAAAATATATTCTCCTGATAATATAAAATAATAAGAAACGAATTTTCGAAAATTTTCACGCTTGCGTTATTAGGAGAACATGATTTGTAAAAAGGTCATCAACGCATCATCGACCTCCTCGCAAAATATATTCTCCTGATAATATAAAATAATAAGAAACGAATTATCGAAAATTTTCACGCTTGCGTTATTAGGAGAACAGGATTTGTAAAGAGGTCATCAACGCATCATCGACCTCCTCGCACAATATCTTCTCCTGATAATATAAATTATAAGAAACGAATTTTCGAAAATTTTCGCGCTTGCGTTATTAGGAGAACATGATTTGTAAAGAGATCATCAACGCATCATCGACCTCCTAGCAAAATATATTCTCCTGATAATATAAAATAATAAGAAACGAATTTTCGAAAATTTTCGCGCTTGCGTTATTAGGAGAACATGATTTGTAAAAAGGTCATCAACGCATCATCGACCTCCTCGCAAAATATATTCTCCTGATAATATAAAATAATAAGAAACGAATTATCGAAAATTTTCACGCTTGCGTTATTAGGAGAACAGGATTTGTAAAGAGGTCATCAACGCATCATCGACCTCCTCGCACAATATCTTCTCCTGATAATATAAATTATAAGAAACGAATTTTCGAAAATTTTCGCGCTTGCGTTATTAGGAGAACATGATTTGTAAAGAGATCATCAACGCATCATCGACCTCCTAGCAAAATATATTCTCCTGATAATATAAAATAATAAGAAACGAATTTTCGAAAATTTTCGCGCTTGCGTTATTAGGAGAACATGATTTGTAAAGAGGTCATCAACGCATCATCGACCTCCTCGCAAAATATATTCTCCTGATAATATAAATTATAAGAAACGAATTTTCGAACATGTTCGCGATTGCGTTATTAGGAGAACATGATTTGTAAAGAGGTCATCAACGCATCATCGACCTTCTCGCATAATATATTCTCCTGATCATATAAATTATAAGAAACGAATTTTCGAAAATTTTCACGTTTGCATTATTAGGAGAACAGGATTTGTAAAGAGGTCATCAACGCATCATCGACCTCCTCGCACAATATATTATCCTGGTAATATAAATTATAAGAAACGAATTTTCGAAAATTTTCGCGCTTGCGTTATTAGGAGAACATGATTTGTAAAGTGATCATCAACGCATCATCGACCTCCTCGCAAAATATATTCTCCTGATAATATAAATTATAAGAAACGAATTTTCGAAAATTTTCGCGCTTGCGTTATTAGGAGAACATGATTTGTAAAGAGGTCATCAAAACATCACCGACCTCCTCGCAAAATATATTCTCCTGATAATATAAAATATTAAGAAACGAATTTTCGAAAATTTTCACGCCTGCGTTATTAGGAGAACATGATTTGTAAAGAGGTCATCAACGCATCATCGACCTCCTCGCAAAATATATTCTCCTGATAATATAAATATAAGAAACGAATTTTCGAACATTTTCACGCTTGCGTTATTAGGAGAACATGATTTGTAAAGAGGTCACCAACGCATCATCGACCTCCTCGCACAATATATTCTCCTGATAATATAAATTATAAGAAACGAATTTTCGAAAATTTTCACGCTTGCGTTATTAGGAGAACATGATTTGTAAAGAGATCATCAACGCATCATCGACCTCCTCGCAAAATATATTCTCCTGATAATATAAATTATAAGAAACGAATTTTCGAAAATTTTCACGCTTGCGTTATTAGGAGAACATGATTTGTAAAGAAGTCATCAACGCATCATCGACCTCCTCGCACAATATATTCTCCTGATATATAAATTATAAGAAACGAATTTTCGAAAATTTTCGCGCTTGCGTTATTAGGAGAACATGATTTGTAAAGAGTCATCAACGCATCTTCGACCTCCTCGCACAATATATTCTCCTGATAATATAAATTATAAGAAACGAATTTTCGAAAATTTTCGCGCTTGCGTTATTAGGAGAACATGATTTGTAAAGAGTCATCAACGCATCATCGACCTCCTCGCAAAATATATTCTCCTGATAATATAAATTATAAGAAACGAATTTTCGAAAATTTTCACGCTTTGCGTTATTAGGAGAACATGATTTGTAAAGAGGTCATCAACGCATCATCGACCTCCTCGCAAAATATATTCTCCTGATAATATAAAATAATAAGAAACGAATTTTCGAAAATTTTCACGCTTGCGTTATTAGGAGAACATGATTTGTAAAGAGGTCATCAACGCATCATCGACCTCCTCGCAAAATATATTCTCCTGATAATATAAATTATAAGAAACGAATTTTCGAAAATTTTCACGCTTGCGTTATTAGGAGAACATGATTTGTAAAGAGGTCATCAACGCATCATCGACCTCCTCGCAAAATGTTCTCCTAATAACGCAAGCGTCCTGAATTTTCGAAAATTCGTTTCTTATTATTTATATTATCAGGAGAATATATTTTGCGAGGAGGTCGATGATGCGTTGATGACCTCTTTACAAATCATGTTTCCTAATAACGCAAGCGTGAAAATTTTCGAAAATTCGTTTCTTATTATTTATATTATCAGGAGAATATATTTGCGCGGAGGTCGATGATGCGTTGATGACCTCTTTACAAATCATGTTCTCCTAATAACGCAAGCGTGAAAATTTTCGAAAATTCGTTTCTTATAATTTATATTATCAGGAGAATATATTATGCGAGGAGGTCGATGATGCGTTGATGATCTCTTTACAAATCATGTTCTCCTAATAACGCAAGCGCCAAAATTTTCGAAAATTCGTTTCTTATAATTTATATGATCAGGAGAATATATTGTGCGAAGAGGTCGATGATGCGTTGATGACCTCTTTACAAATCATGTTCTCCTAATAACGCAAGCGTGAAAATTTTCGAAAATTCGTTTCTTTTATTTTATATTATCAGGAGAATATATTGTGCGAGAAGGTCGATGATGCGTTGATGACCTCTTTACAAATCATGTTCTTCTAATAACGCAAGCGTGAAAATTTTCGAAAATTCGTTTCTTATAATTTATATTATCAGGAGAATATATTTTGCGAGGAGGTCGATGATGCGTTGATGATCTCTTTACAAATCATGTTCTCCTAATAACGCAAGCGTGAAAATTTTCGAAAATTCGTTTCTTATTATTTTATATTATCAGGAGAATATATTTTGCGAGGAGGTCGATGATGCGTTGATGACCTCTTTACAAATCATGTTCTCCTAATAACGCAAGCGTGAAAATTTTCGAAAATTCGTTTCTCATTATTTTGTATATTATCAGGAGAATATATTTTGCGAGGAGGTCGATGATGCGTTGATGACCTCTTTACAAATCATGTTCTCCTAACAACGCAAGCGTGAAAATTTTCGAAAATTCGTTTCTTATAATTTATATTATCAGGAGAATATATTGTGCGAGGAGGTCGATGATGCGTTGATGACCTCTTTACAAATCATGTTCTCCTAATAACGCAAGCGCGAAAATTTTCGAAAATTCGTTTCTTATAATTTATATGATCAGGAGAATATATTGTGCGAAGAGGTCTATGATGCGTTGATGACCTCTTTACAAATCATGTTCTCCTAATAACGCAAGCGTGAAAATTTTCGAAATTCGTTTCTTATTGTTTTATATTATCAGGAGAATATATTGTGCGAGAAGGTCGATGATGCGTTGATGACCTCTTTACAAATCATGTTCTCCTAATAACGCAAGCGCGAAAATTTTCGAAAATTCGTTTTTATAATTTATATGATCAGGAGAATATATTGTACGAAGAGGTCGATGATGCGTTGATGACCTCTTTACAAATCATGTTCTCCTAATAACGCAAGCGTGAAAATTTTCGAAAATTCGTTTCTTATAATTTATATTATCAGGAGAATATATTTTGCGAGGAGGTCGATGATGCGTTGATGACCTCTTTACAAATCATGTTCTCCTAACAACGCAAGCGTGAAA